GCAAAATAAACTGGCATACTCGTAATACCTAATGATATAAAATTTCTATTTGTATGCAAAGTAAATATGTGTGGCATATTTCGTAACATTAGGCATTTGAAAAGTTGGAGACAGCATTGTCAAGGTTAGCTGTGGTGAAACTTTATACTATGTTTATTATTCTGTACATGTTTTAACAAGCATTTAGCTATAGTCAGACTTCGCTCTAGTGAAAATTAGCGATATTTTTATATTAAAGTACCTACATACAGTTAATGCATAAACATTTCTTTTTATATCATTACTTTTAAAAGGAGTATATTATTATATCCTTCTCAGCCATGTTCGTATGGTAAGCGTAATAATACATACATCTATACTAATATTATAGAGGTAAAGTTTGTGAGATTGTGAGTTTGTGACGTTGTAGGGGGTAATATTTGGATCTACAGAACTGATTTAGATGAATTTTAGTAAGAAGATAGTTTAAGACCATGGGAAGGACATAGGATACTTTTTATCCCGGAAATCATCCCTTAAGGGGATGAAAATAAGGGTTAAAATTTTGTATGGGGAATTAAGTTAGGGACGAACCCGAGCGAAGCGAGAGTGAGTCGCTAGCATACTTTATATTTGTTTAAATAAAAATAAAATCAAGACACAGAGATCTCGAAGAAAAACATAAAAACAAAAAAACGTACCGCCTGAAGGTATAAATAATAGCCTCCTTTTCAGAAATTGGTTAGAAAATACTAACATTAGTAAAAATCATAGAGGTTTCTACCTACGAATATATAAGTAAAATTGAATATTTCTAACACAACACTATTTGCTTACAATATGCGATTTTTCATATAGGAATTTGAGTAATAGCAAGTAAATAAGTGTCCAGCGTCATTGCATTACTTAACAGATAAAAATTGTACCTTCAAGGTATATAGGTCTTTTTTCATTTGGTTAAAAAATCTTTTTAAATAATTTAAGAGGAAAACGTAAATAAATAGAAACGAAACGCCTGAGCAAAAACAGGGCGGGTCGCTTGTAAAACCCTGCGAAGCCGTATTAAGACGTGGAAGGTTCCGGTGGATGTTAGAGGATAGTACCTACTGGTTTTTTGTTACCTGTAACAGGCGGTATGCGTAAATCTATTACCCAAAGTTAACAAATAAAAAGTCGCTAATATAATATTTAAGTACCTGGGCGACCGAGCCTCGCTCGGAGTTCTTTTTTGTTATATCGTATTTTTTATATTAAAAGAAACTAAAAACTTGAATAAATACAAAAAAAGAACAAAAGTAAAAGCTTTGTATCCGATCGGGATTTGAACCCGGACACCTGTGATTTTCAATCTTGCGCCTTGGCTGCTTGACCTTGATACTTATGCCAGAGCGTGGGAAATTAGCAACTATATTTTGCGTGAAATAATGCGAAAGAAAACCGCATGACAACTTGAAAACGCGCGTTTTTCAAGACGAATCTAGATCGATTTTTCGCCCCCAAAAACCGCCATATACAAAATTTCCGCGAAATCGCTAGAACCGTATCCTAGATCGCCAGTATATAATATAAATAAATATACAAGAATTGCTCGTTTAAAGGTATTAGGTATAGTACATAAAATATGCGCTGGCTGATCCTTAACGAACTGAGAGTGGATCGTTAGTTTATAAATAAAAAATATAACTTTCTAAAAAAATATTTTTTCAATAAAATGTATACAAGAACTGATAATCAACCAACTGTAAGTGCTTCATTCTATAGGCCGTGGTAAAAAGTTTCCGAATACATATATGTAATTGATAGGCACTAACTTTTTTGAAAAGCGAACATGATCAATTACTTGGGTTAAATAAATATTGGCTAGAGTCAATGATTTTAACTGTGATATAAACCTTTTATTATTAACTACTAGCGGCTCACCCTCGCTTTGCTCGGGTTTGTCCCTAAGTTTATGTTTTAAATTGATATAAGTAGTTATTAGCCAGCGTTAGCCGTTAATGTATTTTTTTTTCGTGTTGTTTTTTCCGATGTTTTAATAGTTATTCTGTTATTCGGGGTGAAGACAAATCCAACAAAACAAAGATCATCAAAATCGGTCGAGTCGTTCTTGAGTTATAAATGGTCTAACCAACACGACTTTGTTTTATATAATATAATAATAATGTTCTCCTGGCCGATTCCGGCCACGGCGGCCAATCTCATTGAGAACTGCGCAGGGGGTATTATAGTGCACAAGTGTACGCGCAGACACAAGTGCACTCTCTATTCCTGTCACTCTCATACTCCGGTGGCACGACTACTCGACAGGACCGGTGCTCTTCGAGGCACGGGGGTGAAACACCACCAACTTCCCAACTCCGGGCTGTTACTGAGGCTTACTATACAGAAAGACTCAATAACTAAACTTGGCCCGACCCGGAACTCGAACCCAGGACCTCCGGGCGTGCAGCCGTAAATGCTAGCCACTACACCACCGAGGCAGTAAACATAGTATAACTATAGATTGTTATCCTTTAGTTTTTATTGGTAGGGTTTAAACATTGTTTTATAGTTATTGGATATTTCTGACAAGTATTAGTTGTTGCCAGCGTTGCAGGCTTTGTTTATATATATTTAATATAATACACAATTATTATATAACAAAAACTAAATTGTACGCGGGCAGTAAAGCACCTTATTTAGTTTTATTGAAGCACTCTGTTATATGGATGGATGGATGGATCATTATAATATAAAATCACGCTAATATTATAAGCTAGCGGCTCACCCTCGCTTCGCTTAGGTTTACGTCTAGGAAAAAAAAACCTATCCCACGGGAACCGTACATTTTTCCGGGATAAAAATGGTGTCATTCCAGACTATAATCTATCTCTATGCCAAATTTCATGCAGATCCATTCAGCCGTTCTAGCGTGAATGAGTAACAAACATTCATACATACTCACAAACTTTCACATTTATAATATTTATATACAGACAAGAACGTTTGTGAGTATGTTTGTTACTTTTTCCATGCTGTACCTTCTCATCGGTTTTTAATGAAATTCATAATGGATGTAGATAATAACTCATTTTTTTGACATACCCAGTCAAAGTTGCTGACATAAACTAGTACGTATAAACATATATTTCAATTTAATGCTATAATTCATGTTCATATAATCTAAGATACTTTGTATGTAACACAGCCTGGCACATCAATGTCGCTCGAAAAGTATTACTTATGAGGAAGATCTTGTGAGGGCTTTAGTCATTTTCCGCAATTTACAGAAGGTTTGATTAAAGGAGGCTTTCTAATACTCAATTTATATATAAATTATATGGATTATACCTGTCCCTAACTGTGTTTTTGTTACGTTTTTACTAGATTATAATATATAACTAAGCTAGTTTCGTGATGGTAAAAATGATAATAAATCTTATATTCTCATATCTGGGTACCGGTCTCTCTGATGGGGTTTATGGTCACAATCCACCATATTGAATACATGGTTGCCTTCAATTTCTCTTAATGTTACTGTATATGTAACAATATAATTATATTATATTGTTTTTTATCTGCAATAAAGTATATATATATATATATATATATATATATATATATATATATATATATATATATAGTTTGCGGGTTTCGCAGATATTTCGGATATTGACTAAGTTTAAGTGAACATACAATTTAAGTGAACTCGATGCTATAGAACGCAGTACATTTTGTGATAGGCCTCTTAATAAAGTAAACCATTCTATCTAGTTAACGTTTTTGTAGATCTTTCGTTCTAGATTAAATCTATTTAATTAAATTATTTAATCTTATAAGTCTTACAAATGGTTCAACAACATTTAATCCTTAATAAGAACTTTAAGTGATACGCCATATTTTATTCGCGTACACACATCAAGGGATGCACTTAATATACAAATACCATGGGATACTATGACTTGTGAATTGTGATATTTATAAATCTTACCCAGTTTTACTTAAGCATATTATAGCGATATTTATACATATTTATTATATTAAAGTGAATTGTTTGGACTTTTGAGTATTTTAGGTATTTAGTATATGAAATTATGTTCAAATTGTTGTGAAAGTTATACGAAATTAAAAAAAAAAATGGCTGCGTGTAACCTTTACGCGTTTCGCGCGGTTGAAATAAACCTTCTTTGACAAATATGGTTTATGGTTTAAGATATTTATAATATCGAAATTAAATTGAAACAAATCAATAATTAAATAAAGCATATTAGGCATTTTACAATCATATATTTATAGAATATCATATACGGAAAGAATATAATATTATATATCATTTGTCAGACAGTAACAACAGTTACCATGCCAACAATTAGTCATAATAGCTTTTATTTAATTTATGCATATTTTTCTCACAGTAATAAATATTTATTTTTATAAGTAATAATTATTATAAAATGTAAATACAATATTTAAAATAATTGTAAGGTTTTAAATAAAACTGCCCTTTCGGATTTCTTCGCGGATTTATTTGCGAATATTTTTTAACTTTAAACATTTTTATAATAATTTTAATTAGTTTTATAATTGAATATGGAATATTATTGAATTAATTTTTGCTGTTATTCTTATAATTATTACAATTTTAAAAATATTAATTAGTAATTTATATTTGGTGTTGCCATGATACGAGTATATATGTAATATATATGTATGTATCTATGTACGTATGTATGTATGTTTGTATATGTGTATATTTATATTATAATTCACGTTTGTAGTTTGTACCTACACCGCACCGCATTTTTATTTTTATATTTTTTTTCGCTTGAGGTTTTCTGGTAGAGATCTCTAAAAGAAATAAGTCATCCTTTGTACACATGGTATCTGTTTTCACTTCTATGTTTTTTTCTGGTACATAAATAAAAAATAAACTAGAACACTACGTGTAGTATGAAACCAACCCAAAAAAAGTTCTATCTCTATAATAAAATATGTAATGTAAACACAACAAGAGTATATAATGACTTTATTGTATGTTTCAGTGTTTGATGCTTCAGCAAAGTCTCCACAAGGGCTGCTCTTTGGATCTTCTTACCACATGGGAAACTTTGATGAATGTGTGGGAATTAAAGAGCCGGGAGATGGTAGGACTGTTGAAGGTCAATATTGTCTGGCTACAATCAAATGGAGACAGCGAGAGGAGACGAAAAAGGTAAATTAAGCTTAAGGCTTATGTTTAACTTATATTGTATTATACTATATAGCGCCATTATTTGGCAAAGTCCATTACTAACAGAACATACTTACACTCATATATATATACTAGCATTGCCCGCGGGTCTCACCCGCGTTCTGATGACCAAAAACCAAATTCTTAGGTTTTACATATTACACTCTTACATTGCAGTTTTTGTATTTTTTCTCAGAAATAAGACTTTTCCTACGGTAAAAAGTATCTTATATGTTGACCCGGATGGTTATCCAGGTTAACATATAGGATACTATGACCATACCAAATTTTATCAAAATCCCTCCAGTAGTTTTTCTGTGATGCGGTAACAGACAGACAGACAGACAAAAATTCTAGAAACTATAGATTCGGCCTCTGTATCGATAAAAATGTCTATTTCAATAAGATTTTCCAAAAAAAATTAATGTACTGATTCAACTTAGTTAGAATTTTATTATACGTATAGATACCGCCTCTTGTACATTTCTACGCTGTGTTTATTTATTTTTCTTTTATTCTTGGTGTACAATAAAGAGTTTATTATTATTATTATTATTATATTTGTGAATGGAAAAACAAAACAAAAATAATTTAAATATTGGCCGATTTATATAAGAATTGCATGTGAAGGTTGCACAGTTCAAGTTTTTGATAAACATTTGAAGGAAATCGATTGATTAACAATATTAAAATAATAATATTATTTACTATAAAAGCTTAAAGATCAATAAACTTTAGAATTTAAAACGGAATGTGAATAATGTTCTAGAAATAAATAGCGGAAATGTGGAAGGTTGCGCGTGTACTGGTATGACGTTTGAGACGTCATTAGAATTATAAAAGTAACTCCATCGTTCTTCGACATCTATAATTATTGAAAATTTACTGTTTTTTTGTATAAATAAAAAAATATTCAACAATACCTGTAAATGTAAAAATCTTCTAAAAACAAGCCATTTTGCCGTCATTAGACCAGCTAAATGGTGCCATATTATTGTTACGTAAACATGCCCAAGTCATTTGAAAGGTTGCAAGTTTTATAACAAAAATGGGTTTTTAATGTAAGATTAAAGAAACAAATATATACTAACAAATTATCTTAATAAAAAACGTGTATTTTTTTTTGTTTCTCGTACTGGTACTTGTAACATAATACATGCCTTCTTTAAGACATGTTACGAGTTCAATTCCTGCGGAGGGAGAAAGAGCATAAAAAACGTCTCATAATTTTGTTGATTTTTTATAGTTCTGTATTGACTTATGTATTGAAACGCAGTTAGACTTTTTCTACGAGTGACATTTATTACTTTTATTTTTAAGACGGCCAATATACATTAAAAACTTATTTTGATAAAAAATAACACACTCCCTTTATCAAAATAATCTAAAATTTAAAAATAAAACAAACTAACTCAAAATTCAATGAAGTATACATATAACGCCTAAACAATCCAAAAACTTAACATGTTTAGCTGAATTTAAACATTTTGTCAAAATATCTGCTGGCATATTTGACGTTTCTAAATAAATAATTTTAATAATATTATTTGAAACAGCATCTCTGACAAAATGGTACCTTATATCTATATGCTTGCTTCTTTTATGGAACATTGAATTTTCAGTCAATTTTTTCGCACTCTGATTGTCATTATATAAAATAATAGGTAAATTTACATGACCAGTTAATTCTATCAAGAGATTTTTTAAGTAAATCGCTTCTTTACTCGCTTCACATATGGCCATGTATTCCGCCTCAGTACTAGACAATGCTACGGTGCGTTGTTTCTTACTTTCATAAGATACAATACTTCCTGACATTTTAAAATAGTACCCAGTATAAGATCTTCTATCTATTACGTTTGACCCCCCAATCTGCATCTACATAGCCTTCTAAATCACAACTATCTTTTTTATATACTTAACCATACGACTTTGTTTTCTTTAAATATCTTAGAACTCTTTTAGCTTGTACCCAATGAGTAGAATCATAGCAACTGTTAAATTGGCTAAGATAACTAACGCTATAAGATATATCTGGCCTAGTTAATACTGATAAATACATAAGGCTTCCTATTAATTGTTGGTATGGATACAATTTATTAACGTTTACAGCCTTTTCGAGTTTTAAATTTGTTTCCATAGGAGAATCGCAAGTTTTACAATTCGTCATATTAAACTTAATTAATAGCTGATCTACAAATTTTTCCTGATCAATAGATATAGAATTTGAATTTATTTCTACTCGCATCCCTAGGCATAGCCTTAACTGACCTAAATCTTTAATTTTAAATCTTGCTTTCAACTCTTTCTTTAAGTCATCAGTCATACTTTTACTATTAGAAAATATAAAGAAATCATCTACAAATATCGTTACAATTATTTTATCCGAATCTACATTTTTAGTGTACAAACATGGCTCTAATTTAGATTTTGCATTTGTTTTATTTTTAAATTTTAGATTATTTTGATAAAGGGAGTGTGTTATTTTTTATCATCTTCAGTACTCGATTCTCCCAACGGCTTGTCGAGATCAATACCTTCTAGTACAAAAAAAAATTTCACCGCAAAAGCCCAATCATCTTAATTTTATCGCTCTTTAAGTTTAGGTACATTAATCATATAGCTACCCGATTACATTTTACAAAATAATTCTAACATTTTACTATTTATTTTTGTTAAAATATAGGACTGGGCCCATAACCTATTGAAACGCAGTTAGACTTTTTCTACGAGTGACATTTATTACTTTTATTTTTAAGACGGCCAATATACATTAAAAACTTATTTTGATAAAAAATAACATTATGTTGACGATACGTTTGGCTCAGTTTATAGTGACCCTACTTGCTGTGCCAACGGTCGCGGGTTCGAGTCCCGCTGAGTTCGTTCATTTGTGTGATGAGCATGAATGTTTGTACTCCAGTTATGGGTGTTTATATTTATAATATGTATGTATTTAAGGATATCCATTACACAAATCTCGTAGTTTACAAAAAAAAGAGAAGATAAATTGGTGTGTAAAAATCTTGAACGAATTAAAGGTTAATAATAAGTCATCAAAATAAAGAAAGAATTAAAAAAATAGTAATAAACAGGCACCCTGTATTAAGGTAAGACTGGAATGTTTACAAAATAACCTTTTTGTTAAGGAAAATGGTATGCAATCATAAACACGGCTCATTCTGTAAGCATCCGAATCTTTTTGGATTATACGGGATTATTGAGTAACAATTAGATTTCTCCATTTATTTTATTATCTATACTAATATTATAAAGAGGTAAAGTTTGTGAGTTTGTGAATTGTGAGTTTGTAACTTTGTAGGGGGTAATCTCTGGATCTATTTAATCGATTTGAATGAAATTTGGTTAGAAAACAGTTTGAGACCCTGGAAAGGACATAGGATATTTTTTATCCCGGAAATCATCCCTTAAGGGAGTGAGAATGGGGATGAAAGTTTGCATTTGTCTGTATCAGCGTTTGTGTTTGTGTCAGCGCTAATCTGGAGAACTACTGAATAAATGTAAATACGGTTTTTGCCTTTACAACCCGCATTTCTCTTGAAAGGTTTTAATGTGGTAAGAGTTGCCCTAGCAGTTATAGCTGAACATTGGTGGAAATCACGACTTATAGACAAATTATCTAAGGACGCAATCAAAGTGAAGTTGCGTTGCAAGTATCTTATTAGTATTACACAGGAATAAAAAGTATTCAGTGTCACTCTTGGGATTTATGTATATCTTTATGCAGTAGATTACGTCTGTACTGTTTGTTGTCTGTCTGTATGTGTTAAAAACATTAAACTTAAGAACGTTCTTTTGCGTTTACGAGTAAAGCAGCATTAGTATAGTGTAGGCACCAAGCGACCGAGCTTCACTCATATTATTTTTTAATTAGTTTTTTTCCGGAAAAATATTAAAATTGCGTTTTCTCAAAAAACACGTCTATATAGATAAACTTAAAAAGATCCTTATCTATACTTATAATAAAATTATAACTTAGCCGAATCTGTACGTTAAATATTTTTTTTACTGCGGGAAAATATCTCATTTCTGAGAATAAATACAATAAAAACTTTTTAACAAAAAAATAAAAACCGACTTCAAACAAAAGCACTAAAAAGTATTTAATAGGTAGGCTTTAATTACTTAGTCAAAGCACACCGACTTCGAAAATATTTGATTAGGTATGTATAGTAAATGAAAACTACCAATCAGTTATTTATTACTTTTTAGTGCTTTTGTTTGAAGTCGGTTTTAATTTTTTTGTTAAAAAGTTTTTATTTTTCCCTTTTTAGTGTAGATAGTAGTAGAAAAGTAAGGATTCTAACGTGTTAGGCTTGTCAAATCAAACAAAATAAGCCCAAACTCAAAGTATCTACTGTTAGCCGTTGAAGAGTTTCACCATCCACCTTCTGGCCTTGCCATCAGATCAGGTCAACAACACCGAACTATGTACTATCAACGGAAATAGAAATACTTGCAAAGTTTCAAGTCAATATGACAATTAGAAGTAGGTTAAATTCATCATTCGTTGTTTTTCCACCCTTAGGGGTGGTATTTTTTTTTGAAATTTAAATGGGACCAATCTGGAAGTATACCCTTTCAAACGACACAAAAATTGTCCAAATCGGTTAATAAATGACGGAGTTCTGGGGTAACAAACATAAAAAAAAAAACATGCAGTCGAATTGAGAACCTCCTCCTTTTTGAAGTCGGTTGAAAACTGCATTGTAAGAAAGAGTTACTAATACGAGTACTTATGTAAAACCTAAGAATTTGGTTTTCGGTCATCTGAACGCGGGCGGAGCCACGGGCATTGCTAGTCTACATATAAAATTTGATCCAATTGATTTGAGCCGTTTCCGAGATACACGAAACAAAGTTATATATATATATATATATATATATATATATATATATATAGGTAGATATTTACAAGAATTGCTCATTTAGTATTAAAAGATGCTAACGAATCACTGTCG